CTGGCATCCCGAGGCAACTGAATCATTATAGAATTACACTGCATAATGATTAATGATAAAAACCATACCTAAGTAATCTTTTCGGATGGAAAACGCAATTCAGAATTTCGATTAACACTTCATGAGTTAGCACACCCTACTGCAGTGCAGTTTTGATTACTGACCACTGGCCGGACTATATCGTAGGCAGCACACTTGTGAAACATAAACAACCGGTATTTGCGTATCGTACAGGTTGCAGAATTCCCTTCATACACCGCACCGTCTGAAGCCTCAACCCACAATTAGCTTACATAAGTTACCATATACGTTGAAATATATTCGTGTAATTTCCTATGCTAATACTTGCCCTAGACTCCGGTTACGCAACTGAGCGACTTTTTCATTAAACGGATAGTAATTTACCCGCGAGAGTTTTAATAAAGAGATTTAGCTGAACTTGAATATTTATTTTGTGCCTGATGTTAACCGTGGTAATCAACCTGCTAACACGAAAGTTATTTTAAGAAAACTAGAGGTTTTATTGATTCCTAGATGTCAAATTAGCAGATCTGTGCGATTTGGTGCCCTAAAGTGCAGTAATAACGCAGATAGGGATTCCTCCGTTTAAGTGAAGTGAAAGTTTTTTGTCGTTTGGAAAATTCAAATTGATGTCACATAGATGGCCACCACGAATATATATAAAAAGCAATGCTTTTGCGTTTACAGTAGAAAAATATTAGTATAGCTTAGGAACGTGAAAGAAACCGTCAAAAGTACCAATTTTTTAATCGGCCTCGCCGTGCACAAATGCAAAATACACAGAAATGCGTCAACGGAGTGCAGTAATAAACTACTTTTTAAAGAGGCGACTTATTTGGAAAAGTTTTATTATTGATTGGACGCATATTTGTTACCGACTTTCGTTGTGGACAGCCACTTTTTCGAAAATGAAGTTCGATGTTTGAATGAGTCTTTACATGTGACCCAAACGACCATCTTCGTGAAAAGGAGCGCCCCAACACTCACTACTTCGGTAAATGTCTTCAAAAATAATCTTATTTTAAAGTTTTCAACAGGCAGGCAATTTAGGATCTGTCTTTATAGAGGATCGGGTGAAAACGCTGAAAATCATGAAGTATCCAGCAACATTTCGAGGCCGATCTGAAACTCAGCGTAATCCAAAACAAAAGAAAAGTTTACATTAATTTAAGAGAAGAACAGTTCTCTCTATAAACACAAAATGGTATGTTTGCGATCACGCTTGTCAGTACTATTTAAATTATTAGGCACCGACCGGCCTCATGGCATGTCACCTTATGAAAACTTTTGTTCCTACGACGTCTCCATCGGTGAAATCAATCAAAATCCAGTTTTTCTTGTTGAACCCCATCTCATTTAACTCAAAAGACTCAAAGATAACAGAAAACCCTGGAGAACTGTTTTGGAATCTACACCCAGAATGTAGGCAGTTGACAAACTGTCACATGTGAAACCACACTACTTAATAAACGATACATAGATGTAAACTTCACTAAAACATTGTTATTAGACGTTATTTTATGTCTACCTTCATATTTACTACGTTTTCGGTATGAGAATACATTCTATACATCTAAAACGAACTTTAATTAACTAGAGCCGTTTCTGACGTTTTCGGGATATTGCGCTTTTCAAAATAAATCGGTATTTCCAAACAACGCAACACTGCCTTTAATATTTCGTTTTTTTGTTTTTAATTCTTGAAAACTTGTACTTGATAAACATAGACATTGGACGCATGAAAGTGTGTCGGTTTGCGAATGATTGGCAATCATTCGTAAATTTCGACACACTTCATGAGTTAGGTCCCTAACTGCAAAGGTCACGCTGTGGGCGTCTAGTAGAGTGCAGTCCCCAATCCTGAGTGGAGTAGAATTATTCCCGGTTTTGGTTCCTCAAAACTTGACCAGGTCCGAGGCAGGAGAGGGTGATGACAGGAGTATGACATTCCTACTCGGTTGCTTAAAGGAAGAAACCCAGCACCCGATATGGGTTAAGGCGATCTAACCCTCTACCTTTCCTGTTCCACATGCCAACAGTCTATGCAGGTCAAGCCGACCAGGTGAAGAGGCTGTCGTGATGTGAAACCGCCGTCCAACGCGCGCAGACTCATCGCAAATCTACCAACGCGCGTCACATGAGCCCGTGTAGTCCTCGTTTTGGTCTAATGCAACAGCGGCACCGTCGGTTTGAGGGCGAACGCGCAAACAGGCCACAAAGCACCCGGGTCTACTAAATTTCACAGTCCCACTACCCCCGGCCCTCTTGCCGTACTACCGCCAGCCGGTAAGAGACACCGCCTGGTCACCCCGCCCCGCACACTCGGGACGCCGGGTCCGGGGGGGGGGGGAGGGGGTTGGCGTTCTCGAGCTGGCTACCGAGGTTTGCCCCACCTTGACACTCCAGCGCGCCAGTGTGACTCATGTGTGCTAAAGGGCGAACTGAAATCGGGACGGCAGCTTGCACCTTGCCGCCCACCCCCTCCACAAAAAGGCGCAAAGTCGATGACTGCTGCGGTTTTCACACAAACGTGTTTGTGTGCGCGCCCGCAAATAGAGGAGCAACGAGCACGCACACGACCGCAAAGCTCACCCAACCCGCTCCGTTGGCGCGCATCCTGTACGGGGGGGGGGGCAGGGGGCGGCGACGCCGGTGAAGCAGCAAATGTGATCGCTAGTGACACGTTTATGTGATAACGCACGACTTCGTTAGAGCACCTGGCGGAGCCAGGCCACGTTCGCAGTGCTGCTGCGCGTGCGTGTGCTGTTCGGTGTGTGTGCAGTTCTGTCGCCAGTGTATATAGTTGACTTGTGTGAATTTCTGCCTTTTGATCAGCTGGCCTAACAAAAAGTGCACTGCATTGGCGGCAGAGGCGTTCATATTTTTCCCCTCCCCCCCCTCCTCCTCCTCCTCCTCCCTGGATTGCATGTAAGTCGAACTGGCGACGCAATGCACAAGCCCAGCACTACGGTATTCGATCCAGCACAACTGTGAACTAGAACAGCGAAATCCCTCGGCGTCTTTTGATGATAGAATTTCCTTTTACTCCTCTCAGAAGCATGCATCTTAAAAAAGTAGGCGGAACACAAAAGAGACTGAGTTTAGGGCAAGGCGATAGCATAGCGCCAGCACAGGTACTAACCAAAGGCTCATACACGCGTGTTCCGCCGATATTCTACCGCTGCATGGCGCAGCTACGGGGGTTTCGGTTCGTCAGTGGGTCCCCCAGCGTCCCCCGTCTGTTTTCTGGTAGATTCTCCAATTTAGAAGTTGTCGCTTTTTAATTTCCTCAGAAATTGACTACGAACTTGGAGTAGATCAGTTTATTCAAGGTCTCCGAGACCGAGATTTTTACGTATGAATATTTGGACCGGAGTTCATCAGTCACCGCGGGCAACCGTGTAGTATTCATTAACTGCCGACAGGCAGCTAGAATTATACTTGCGGCAGTATATCGGCGAAACACGCGTGTGTGGGCTTCTGGTTAGTGCCTATGCTGTTAGTATGGTATGACCTTACCCTCAATTATACTACTAGCTGCCTGTCGGCAGTTGATGAATATTACGCGGTTACCCGCTGTGACTGATGGACTCCAGTCCAAATATTCATACATAAAAATCTCGGTCTCGGAGACCTTGAATAAACTGATCTACTCCAAGTTCGTAGTCAATTTCTGAGGAAATTAAAAGGCGGCAGAGACTGAGTTGCCTTAAATACTCGCTACTCTTTTTATCATAGGATTGGGGATAACACACTCCTAGCGGTGCTATGATTTAAAATGCGAACAGTTTCACTCAAATTGCTTGAAACAAACCTCCGAAACAGTCCGATGACTTATCGTTTCTGCCAAGAAGGCATCTTTAGTCCCACAGTTAAAACTAGAAACTCCCTCGTGTCAGGCTACCCTGGACTCGATTGTTCGACATCGAGACGTTTACTTGCTTTTCGCCCAGATTTACTTAAGCTGGTATGTCCTAACTTAGACTATAAGAAGGAGAGAGGGGTAGGATTGGCGAGAATTACTCCCTCTTAGGCCAGAGAAGAACACTACATGTCAGAATCCGACCTCTTTGCGCTAAATCCCGGTGGGTTGTGTTGAGGGTCAGGTCGTGTTTTTGGCCCACGCAAATGGGCTGTTTTCAACCCTACAAGCCACCGCTCTCAATCGCAGCATCAGGTGGTTGACCGGCTCGGACAATCGAGTGGTATACGAGAAAGAGCAGGAAGAGAGAAAGAGTGAGGCCAACTCTCAGCGCATGATTTATAAATATACATAACCTAACACACTTGAGACTATCACGGTGTGACAAAAGCCGTGACTTGGATGACTGCCAACTGACGGGAAAACTTGGACCTCGCAGTCAGACGACTGTGTGTTTGGTCAGATGTGGTTAGGTAGCTCCACCTGAAGTAAACAAACCCCAGTCACCTGTAATACGGGACCGATGGTAATGGGGGGTTCTTATAGGTGGGCCCGGGGAACGCACTTGCGACGAGGTCAAGTAGTCGTATGCAAAAGAAAAGCAATTGGGTATGCGCGGTTGTACTTTTAGTGGTTGAGGAATAGTTGCCCTAACCCCAACCCCAACCCTCACCCCAAACCCAACAGTAGTGAGTCCAAAGGAAGAAGAGGCGTTCACCGGGAGGGGTTTATTAGAGGTCCGACGTTTCGAGTTGTTGATTCGTCTTCCCATCTTCAGAGGCTGGAAAGTCCTGCGCACAGGTCCCCTTATATGGCGCAATTTGTTCACTGCATGATCCGCCAATGCCGCCTGTGTGGCTGCATCCAACCCGCATTTCACCGTGACCTGCATCGCCCCCGTCGGCCGCGGAGATGACTGACGACCCCGATTGTCCCGCACCGTGACTGTCCCCCGATAAGAAGGTTCGTAAAGTCAGAAAGGAGGGGTAGGCAAATTTATGTGGCGGTTGACAGAGCAGTCGATAGACATCCAGGATTCTCGTGCCTGCCTTGCCGTATGATCACCGCCCCGGTCCACAATCTCAACGGCGTCAAAGTTGAAGATGTGACCCATTTGGGCAACATGGTTTGCGACCTCCGACTTCTGGTCCAACCTTCGCACGGCCAACTTATGCTCGTGCATTCGCGTTTGCAGCCGTCGGCCGGTTGCCCCAACGTAGTTGCACCTTCTGCAGCTGCACTGAAGTCGGTAGACAACGGCCGAAATCTCCTGCTTGAGTCCATCATGTGGGGCTATGTAACCACATCTTGCCGTGTGTGTTTGTGGGGAGTGGCCGACTTACAGAAAGAGAGTCAGGCTGCAATGTTGCCCTCTAAGACGCTCCCGCTTAATGGGATAGGTGCGGATTGCCGGCGTGCCAGTCATTTGCGCTATCTGCCTCCCGCGATCCTCTTGATTCTGTCACGACACCAGGTCTGGGTGGGAGTGGAGGACTAGATGCTGCGCAAGTCACTGCTCCTGTGTCCGTTCAACCGTGAAAATCACCGATCGGAATTGATGATAAAGACAAATTGCATCCAACACTTAGCACGATCTTTTCTGCGCTGTGTTCAGAAAACTCACTTTTTGACGGTTTCTGTAGTAGTGGGACAGATAGGCTGCAACAACACGGAGGAGCATCACCTCAGTCGTCTGACCCCCGCAGGGAGGTAAATGAAGACTGGCAGGCGACAGTCCAATAACCATTTCTTGCTACAACATCTACGCCCTTTATTTGGCACCACTGTAAAAAAATGGCCCAAGGAAATCAGTATATTTCCGACCCAGGCATCAACCGCACTCCCAGTGATTATCAGAGGTTACACGTCTGCCTGACAGACGACACCTACTGCGTACCCACCAGAACAGGCGCAACGCCAACGAGGTGGGCGTGAATTAGCATCTAATGAGGCAGGCATGCACACAGCTTCCATCGCATTCATGTTCCGACCGGAGTTGGATGCAGGCGCAAGGACTGACAAAGTTGAACGCCCCCTCTACGCGTGCCACACACAACCTGGCCCCCACTGCATGTGTGCCGGTCTGCTTTGAGGACATCACGGATCTCACATGCGCAAGGCTGCCATGAAGATTGCATGGAGAAGGGGCCGCCCTAGCCGGGCTCTTCCTTTTCAGAAGGGCTGCGTTGTCCCGTCAATCGACAACCTTCCAAACAAGGACTCTTAGGGCATCGTAGTAGATCCAATCTCATTAGATCTATTATTATGAGAAATCTGCCAATTTGTCACGAGGATGGATCTCACCTTCTTTTCGCTCTTCCGTGCATCGCTCGACTGTCCGAAACTTTCACACAACTGGCGCTGGGATTGGTGCAGTAAATGACGCGGTGTGAGAGCCTACGTCCAAAGTAACCCCTCCCCCCTACGTGCAGTAGGTGGGCTAACTCATGAAATTTTAACAGAAATTCCGAAATGCGTTTTCACTTCGAGAAGATTAATTAAGTAGGGCTGTAAAACTAATCAGCCTGCAACATAATTCTATGATATTTCAATTACCTCAGGATGCCGGCTTTCGAACGAACTTTCTTCCGGATGCATACAAAATTATACTTTGTAAGACATGACTACATAAGTAGCATGAATTTTTTTCTTTGATTTTTGAGGCCCCTAAAAGTCCAAATATATTTCATAGAAAGCAGGCATAAAATATTCATTCTTCTGTTCATTCGGTAGAAAATTATGTCATCTACCAATCTTATACTCGAAAAAAAGGCATTATTCCGTTTTCAAAAACTTGTCCGATTTCCGAATAGTTTTCAACCCGCTCTGCCATCACCTAGCATTCAGGTTTGCAAACCACAAGGCATCTATTTTCCGCGTACAGAAAACTACACATTTCTCTACGGTATTGAGGGGAGATCATAGGGGGTTCGTAAAATTGGGCATTGGATTTGATCTATATTGTTAACTTTACAAGCCACATTGGCAAGTGCAGAGATTTGACGTTTTATGGACGGCCATTTCACGGTAGTAAAAAGTCTCACAATCAGAAACTTTTTTAAAACCGAATTATGCCCCTCCATCGAATATAAAACTGAAAGAAGGCCTAATTTTTTTACCGAATGAGCGAAAGAATGAATATTTTTATGCATGTTTTCTATGGGCATCGAAAATCAATCAGAAAAATTCATGCTACTTAAGTAATCATTTTTACAGAGTGTAGTTTTTGCATGCAGTCGGAAGGAAGTTCGTTCGAAAGCCGGCATCCTGAGGTAACTGGATTATTATTGGAATTATGCTGCATTATGATTAGTTTTATGAACCCACTTACTTAATCTTTTCGAAGCGAAAACGCATTTCGGAATTTCAGTTGATATTTCATGAGTTAGCCCACCTACTGTAAGGCCTCAAGCCAGCCATTCCGCATGAACACACGGTACTGATCTCGAGGACGGGCTTAGTCAGTCAGTTGTCAGTCTTCACGACGTTTAGCACAGAGTGCTACTTTCAAAGCCAGACAGATTTATTCCAGTGAGGAATGGGCTGATGCGCCGTGGGGATGAAGTTCCCCACTAGGCAGTAGAAGACGCAGTCACTCAGTGCATGACCGGATGTTATTTTCTGCATTATATATGCAGAATTTGCCGGTTGGATGGACAGAGAGGAACGGCGAATCGATTTCAAATAGTCGTCAAGTTACTTAATCGAAAGGTTTCTCCACTGCCATTGCTATTTCTATTCCCACGCCAAACTTTCGATCTGGTATCTATGTTTAGGTTTCTGAAAACGGAGAAACCACGATTCTATGATGCCCCCGGCGTACAGTCTCCCGAAGACGCCATTCTCGTTGATCCTATTAGAAACCTGAGTCCTGCCAGAATCATGTATATCAGGGTTGGAATCGTGCAGTCAGAGATATCGCACACATTCTTGGACTTGCGGAATTCCCTAACCAACGCATCTGAAGTTGGCTTTGTTCAAGTACCCCAATCCTTAACCTACACATCAATGGTCACATACGACCTCGTATTCTATTGAAAGTAAGACATATTAATAGGTGTTTTGGCAGATTTCGGCCAAACTGTGAAAAACTCGAGGCGCCGAGTTTTTCACAGTTGAGCCAAAATGTATCACTCGAAATCTGCCAAAACACATTCAGTTCAGTTCAGTTTATTTGAGGGAAATATAGGTGTCAAATCTTTGAACTCCCTATTTGTTACAAGGAGGCTCCCTATTTGTTACATATAAATTATGTGAGCCTGGTAATCATGTGGTGGATTCTAGATGGATTACTTAGGAACACTTGTTTGGAGAATCAGCTTACTGTGTAAGATTTGGTGGATTCCAGACGTTTCAGTAAGTTTCGTGGGTAAGTTGGCCCAAATGTGATTAAACTCACGTCGTCCGGCGGGGAGGGGTCACGTAGCTCTGAATAATTCATATTGACTCAACTGTGAGAAATCAAAATCTGCCAAAATATATATGAATTACGTGAGCCTGGTAGTCATCTGGTGGATTCTAGGTGAATTACTTAGGAAATCCTGCTTGGGCAGTCAATTTACTGTATCAGATTTGGTGGAATTCAGATGTTGCAGTAGGTTGAGCGGATGATTTGAACCAAATGTGATTCAACTCGCGTCGCCCGGCGGGGCCTCGTAGCTCATGTGGTTAGAGCGTTGGCTGTACTAAAGCCTTCCCCTTACTGCGTGGGTTCGAATCCTACCGAGACACCGAGTTTTTCACAGTTGGGTCAATATGAATCCTCTAAAGTTGTCAGTCTGGCTACATTGCCTCAGAATCGTATAAATAATTATTCTGTGGTCGCCTCTTCTGCATAACTGCCCTATTTTGTAATCCGACAATTAATCCGTAGTCTTGTGAGTGCCACTTATATCAGAGCTGGGATCATTCAGTCCGCAGTTTCACACGCATACGTGGATTTGGAAAATTCCCTGCAAGACCTTACCTCAAAGCCGTACCTGTGACGGGTTGGGGGTTTGGCGTTTGGGGGTTAGGGTTAGGGGTGAGGGGTTGTGGTTAGGGATAAGGGTTGAGGGTTGGAGTTTGGGGTTAGGCTGGGGCTTGTCAACTGCAAGTACGGCTACAGAATGAGGTCCGACCGGATTTCCTGACCAACACCTATGCAATTGGCTTATTCGAGTGCCCCAACCCTTAACCTGCCTATCATAGACCCATATCCGACCTCGGATTCTGTTGAAAATAAGGTATCTGTCGCTATTGTTCCGTTTCTTATTGCACTACAGTCAAACGAAAACCTTATAATGCTCTTCCTTCCGGACGGTGACTGTTCATTTTATTTAATAATGTGGAAGAAGTCGGTGCTCACGTTATATCAGGCAGCATACTAAAGTCTTATGACTCCTAGTTCAAGACCCGCCAAAAACACAAGATTTGGCAATCGTAGAACACTTTTCGAAAACATGCAAAACTGACGGCAGGATTGCGGTGGATACCGTCGAACGAATCGTCTAGTTCTCCGCCGCAAAAATTAGGACCTTTAGGAGACTACAAAAATGACACTCGGTGAGGAACGTTCCTTAAAGTGGGCAAGACTGGTCCCAGGACGGACTAGTGAGGGCTTCTAAAAGAACGGCCGGACAAATTTGTGGATTGGTTGGCGGTCGAGGGAAGAGACGCAGAGAAAGGTTACGGTGGCAATGAGCTTGACACAACTTTTAACTGTGAAGGTAGTTTACTAACAAAAAATCCCAGTGACCTAGCAGACAGGCCTTTCGGATTGGCCCATAAATCTGACTAAGTCAAATTCTTCAAAAATTGTCAGTCTGGATAACCTGACCCTGCAACATATGAAGATTTAATTTGTGGTTGTCTCTTCTGCATGATTTTGGTGTCTTGAAATCCGATAATTCGACAGTTCGACCGTCGTTTCCGACGATGTCCACCGTCTGATCCACATCAAGGGGAGAGTAGGGACGGTGACTTGGGTGTGAATTAGTTTGCAGTGATAGTGGACTTGCACAGCATCTAACGCGCTCTCTCTTTTCCGCCCCCCACCTGAACCCGGTATCAAGACAAAGTTAAGAACACCGGGGCGGGCGAGATCGCAGGTGGAGTGCACATTCGAGCCCGCATCTTGGCGCTCCGCTCCACACCCCCTGGTCCACACAGCAAAGGACCAGGTTTTTGACCAACAACATCAACTGGGGGGCGGTAGGGGTCCCAGTGTGCGCGACGTCTGTCGGCAACCGGGTCCGCCACCGCACCCCAAAATGTTGGTATTTTGTCATAATGTGCAAATCCGATAACGCCTGCCGGAATCCGATATGGCCTCCGTGCTGGTCCAGCGCATCTGCCACGTGACCCGTTTGGGGAGCACGATGGACAATTAATCGATAGTAGTCATCGCTCCACCAGGTTAACATAAACAAAGGGTCTGCGTTGTATTTAATTCAATGCTGGGCAGTCTTGATTATAGATGTTTCTCGCCTCTCACTCTCTCGCAGAAGTGGTCATGTG